AAAATTACGAAGTTTTTTCCAAAACTTTTTTTTTTAATTTTTGTTATTTATCATAGTGCAACGCCTAAAATACACAAGTAGAGTTTTCTTATAATAAAATGTTTACATTTAGAGCCTTTTAAATTTGTTATTTAATTGTTATTTTCAAAGTGAATATCTTCATTTAATTACAATATTTTTATGACTTTTTTTTTAGAAATTGTGTAGTCCTCTTATAAATCAACTTAAAACTGAAARCAACTCATATATTATGTAACTGTTTTGCCTGTGTGTGCGTTTGCGTTTTTGCAGACTTCAATTGTTCACTTCACGTTTCTTCCCCAGCGCTCTGCTCCCACCTGTTTCTTTCACTTCTATGGAAAGTCATAGTAAACGCCAACATCGTCGAATCTTTCGCCYGCCAATTGTCCGATTTGTTGCAGTAACTCATTGCCTGCATTACGTGTGGGTATCTCGAGCGGTACAGCATCGGTCAGCGACAATGGTGAATTACTGTAGGTGCGTCGTAAGCCGAAAACCGGCAATTTATGCCAACGTTCAATATGTTGCGGGAACTTCCGTTTTTGTTGCAAATGTAGAGAGCGTTGGCGTTCTTCACGCGAGCCAGYCATCTCACTCTTTCGAATGCTGTTATCTAACGGTGTGTTGCTATTCTCACGGTTACTCTTATGTAGTGGGAATTGTAGATGCCGTTGTTCCATGTAGTTGCGCTCTTTTGTCGAATCTGCTGAGGTGTCTTCTACACTTATGCCTATATGTGGTGCAATTTCAGCGGATGCGGTTGCTTCATTGATGTCGAACTGTAAATTACAAAAACAGATTCTCAATAATAATTCCTCTAAAATCCGCCAAAATAAATTATAAGTGTTTGAAAAAAAAATTGTTTAAACAAAAATTTTAACAAACAACTCGATAGTTTATTTATAGTTTTAACAGAACGGTTTGTGCASTAAAACATACACCTGAGCAGTTTGAGCACTACCCATATTTCTAAACTAGATGCGACGACTAACAGAAGGTTTCAAGACCAGTCCATTGTAGAACCCGCAGAGGTGATGTAGTGACTGGTGCCCAGAGTATACTGAATCTTTGGCAGTGAAGACCAGACTTTCACCGCGGGCCAAATCTTAGAAAAGACCTGTAAAAGGAAGATCGACACACACCACCCTTCGTCGATTTTAAACCCGCTTCGACAGCACGAAAATCACYCGCATCTATGCCACTATGTCTCAACTTGGTATCCCCGCAAAGCCAACACGGGTATGTAAACTGACGTTGAGTAACGCCAACAGCTCCGTGAGGATCGAAAGGTACCTCTCCGAGAAGTTTGATCGAAGTGAGGATTCAGACAAGGAGATTCCCTAAATWAGAGAAGGTACAGTCTTCTATAAGAGTGTTCAGCTGCTGGGGAACGTCGATGTTACTTATATCATTGGCCACAATAAACGCGGCGTTAGTTCTGTATAAGTCTGGTTGTGAACGAGGAAAAGATGAAATAACTCCTTTTTATCAAAGAAACAGTCGTCGCACTCGCGAATAGGCTCCCACGTCACTTTTGATAGTCATAACTTTGAAATCGTAGACAATTTCGTCTCTCTTAAAAAAKAATAATATAAGTTGTAAATTCTCACCTTGCTAGCCACAAATCGACTTGCATTATCATCGTCCAGCAAATTTAATTGGTTGCCGCTACGTGAATTTCTCTCCGCTAGCCGACTTGTACTGCCGGCCAACGCCGAGCCACTGGAGCGTTTGCCATGCGCTGTAAAAGAGTTCGTTTAGAATTATGCTACTGTACCATAATATAAATTGCTTTCCAGCTGTTACTCACCCCCCCAACATGAATGCCCATACTCCAAACAAGAACCTGCGAATTGAAGAGAAAAAATTTGAAAAAAAAAAAACATCTAAAAGTTCTAAGTCTATTTATGTTCATCCATAAATACATATGCATGTGTGTGCCCCATATAAATAAACTTTAAGTTACTGCCGTCACCASCACTTATTGAGCCGTCAAATTCAATTTACAGTTACTAGCATTTAGCGTCTATTCTAAGGGTACAACAGCTTAGCAGTAAAACAAATCAAAACTCATAAATAACAATTTGCCGCAAACTTGTTGCTCTTCGGCTACAAAACTCCCCCCTCGAGCGGCTTTCGTTTCAGTTTCTTTTTTTAAAGCAAACATGGTGTATTTATGGCAATATTTTATGGGTGCTTCAATTGTCAGCTGTCAACTGTCAACCGAATTTAGTGCATAAAGAATTTTTGTGGAATATTTTTAAGACTAACTGTATTAATGGATTAACGGCTAAATATAAATATTTATTACGCAAATTATGTCAGTTAATAAGTAACATATTGTAAAGTTTTGAATGGATTTACTTAAAGTTTATTAACTAAGTCGAAAGGTATACTATTGGGGGCAGAAAATGGCAAGACTTTTTAACTTAAATTAAATACTTAAATTTACAATGGACTTACTCAACAAAGAAGTTCCAATAAATTCTGGGT